GAGTGCAGCGCTCGGTGACTCACAACCTGACCAGATTGCCAAACGGAGCCCACAGCTGTTCACACTTTGATAAGAGGTCTCATTTAACAGGCTGTCGGTGAGAGCAGCTGGCGGCTCTTTACTGTCAGGATGAAAAGGCTGATGTGGGACCTGAGGCCAGAGTTGGCTGCAGACACACAGCAGCTCCCAGTGCAGGGACGCCACGGACTCGCACACAAACACACACCTGTCAGCATGTCGGATATCATACATGTTCTGATGCAACAGAGGAGCTGATTTCCTCATGATGGTTGCTACAAGGAGGCAAACAAAGAAAAGCCAACAAATTCAACATCAGACCACAAGCAGACAAGAAATTGGTCTGAGCAAATATGGAATTTACAGGTATGAGTGCATTTTATTTACTGACATGAACTCCGCTGAGCTTCGGCAGTTTCAGTTTCAGAATTAGTTTTGAATGTGTTGGATTTCACTGAAAATCCAACTAGCAGCAATAAAAGAACAGTTGTTGTGTACAGTAACTTGCAAGGACAATGTCAGTCATAATCATAATAGATGCTTGTCCTTGTCTTTTATGTTAGAACTTGTGTTTCAAGCTTGGTTGTTCTTATATCAATAAGATTTTCTAAGTTGTTACTGAGATTTTAATAGTGGTTCTGAACAACCTAATGCATGAAATTTGAATTACCAGGATTATAAAGCAGTTTGATCAACACTGATGTGTACAGAAACACTTCGCGTCAGATAAAGTGTGTTTGTTTCAGTGAAGCTGCACTGGTCTTTGACCTCCCTGGCCTCTTGAGGCTCGATACTCGTTTCTAAAAATCTTGGCAACTCAAGTTTTCCTGTTCTGTTGGCAGTTAGTTTTGCTTATTTTAAGTAATATTTCCCCAGTTTTATTCCTTTTTCTTGTTTTTGAGTTTTTGTAGTGAACCTATGACTGCACACTATAACGGTAACATTATCACAGACACACTGTACAAGACATGCACAAGCAAACAATACTGATGACCTGAGGGTGGAAAGTGGACACTCAGCTCCTCAGATCGAAGCAGGTTTACATGCAGTAACCGCTGCTGTTTTAATCGTGGAACTTCAGGCCAGTGTATAACAACTGTTTAGCCTCCTAACGTTTGTCTGACAAGAATGTTCCCACACAAACCTGTTCACACACCAGTTTCCACTTTACAAAAGCTGAATGTTTTTGCATCAGTGTTTGTTTCAGCCTCTCTCTGTCTGTTGTGGCTCATTAGTATGAGACCTGCCACTCTCTCTCTCTCTCCTCTCATGAGACTAACCCTTTGAAGATCTGCCACTGTTTTCATCATCATTATCCTCCTCTGCCTCGCTCTCGAATAGACTGAAAGCCTGCCATCAACTTTCTCTCCACGGAGGACTTTTAATCTGAGTGCCCGCCATCATCTTCATCAATAATCTCCCTTCCTCTGTTGAAGATTGACACTTTGAAGGTTTGGCTTTGTTTAAATCAGCATTTGCCTCTTTCTGTTCCTTCCATCACCCTCCAAACGTCGTGTATATCCCTGTGAATCATTTCCTGTCCAGTAACAGTCTGAGACCAACGTCAAACCTCCCATGCCTACGGTAAACAGGTACAGTGGGTTCCCAGCTGTACTCCGCAGAACTGGTCAGAAAGCATCAAAACATTTATGGAAAGCTCTCGAACCAGCATCATCTATTCCTCCTCCACTGATCCGTGGACTTAGTATGTTCCAAACTAAAGCTGTTTTGTGCAAAAAACACCACCTATGCTACTGAGTGAGGAGTGTGACATAAGTACCGGTGCTACAGCAGATTACTGGTAGATATGAATGATTAAACACAGTATTTATTTTTTTGTCCCTGGACTTTGGACCATTGGAATAAACTGAAACTGTTGTGAATCCAAGCTGACAACAGCTGCCGCCCCTCTCGAGGGAACAAATTAAAAACCTTTCATGGCCAACCTCCAAGTTTCAGTGCAACTACGAAGCTGTTAACACTGATGCAGAGGTAGATTATTTGGACCAGTTGCATCTGTAATTGAGGGAGTGGCTTAAATTACAATTATAACGCTGATAAAATCCATTTGATTTTCCACACAACTCGGTGAGAAGTGTGCCAGCATGTCCAGATCCAGAGTAAGACGCTTCATAAAAATGTATGTTCATTGATTCTGTGAAAACCAAACATTTATTCCTGATACTGAGCCAATTAAAGGAAAAAGCAACAGCCTGATAGCTTAAAATAAACAAACTGAAGGAAAAGTGCCACCTACATTGTTTGAGTGACAGGATCTCAGCAGAAATACCAAAGTACAAAAGATATAAAGCTGTTTAAAATCTGGAACTTCACTTGTTTCAATCCAAGTGAAAACAATCAAAAGTTATGAATCTGATTCCCATGAAAACAGACCAAAAACCAAGCCTCACCATCTCCTCCGCCCGGTCTCCCCTGGCGCTGATGTAGTTCAGCCGATAATGTCGGACGTTCCTGGTGTCGACCGGCTGCCAGGACACCCGCAGGCTGAAGGTGGTTTCCTCATCAATCCTGATATTCCTCACACCATAATGAGGAGCTGGAGGATCCGAAAGACGGGGAAAATCACAATGCAGGTCACTGAGTTAAATATCTGTCAGTTCACTGAAGTACAAAGCTGACACAGTCAGATGTTTTTCAGCTTCTGTCAGAAAAACCGATCATAGCAAAACGCCCTCCCTTTGGCGTTTCATTTACTCAGGTTTACAAATTCATATCCCAGAACCTTAGTGATGGATGATTCACCGTGGGCACATTTACAGCACCATCAGTGAAATAGCACCAGAAACTGTGTGACCAGACATTTATAAAATCTTGAACCCTGATTTTTCCTTTGGTAATTTCAAAGCTATAGAAGGTTGTTATACTGTTTTCTGTACAGATGACAGTCACCTGTGTAATTACTATTACTACTATTACACTTGATAAAAATCATTTCACATTATTGTAGGGCTGTAACCACTAACTAATTACTTTCATTATAAAAGGTCAGAGCATGGTGACAATCTCCATCATAACTTCCCAGAGACTGAGGTGGCATCATTAGACTTTTTTGTTTGTCCCTCTCAGTCCAAAACCCAAACAAACTGTGCAAATCCTCCGATTTCAGTCTGGAACTACAAAGTGATCGGCTTGACACACTCAATAAAAGACTAAAAATACTGAGACTCTTCTCGTCCATCATCGACACGGATGAATGCAGCACACTGCATGTAGCGTGATCCAGATACTGGGGAACGTAAACACCCACAGACAGTTAAAGAGCATCAGTCAAACCAGTCAGTCAGAGGCAGAGCAGGACAAAATGATGGACGGAGGAGGATGAGGTTGAACGTGAGGAAGAGGTGGAGGAAGACAGGAGAAGAAAACATGACGGTGGCAGTGGAATGTTTACCTGATGTGGTAGTGGTTGTCGTGGCAACAGTGGTTGTCCTTTCGACTGAAAATCACATATAAAACATTTGATTGATAAAACGATTCACAGAGGTTTAATAGAGCTGAAATCATCATCATGTTTGTTTCAGTGTGGAAAATAATGTCACAGACAGGCAGCGGGCAAATCAGCCAAAGCACCATACAGTGATTACTGCAAAGCTATTAGGAACACTTCCATCCACGGGAAAACTGGAACTCAGCTGTGGGGAGGTCTGATTTACCCGTGGACTCCACGAGCACCACCTCGTCGCTCTCGACCTCGTTTCCATAGATGGCGGCCAGGACGACCTCGTACTCCGAGGAGGGGCTGAGTCCTCCTATTACGTAGGTGTTATCATTTCCATTCACCAAAGCCTGAAAGAGAGGGAAACACAGTGTTGTGCTGGACAGATGTTCAGCTGGTACAGACCAATACAATGTCAGGGAAGCAGAAAATCAGATGAATACAGATGAAGTAAACTCAACTGAATTTTATTTCCAACATTTTTCTACATCACAGCAAGAAGCATCTGATTTTAGTATTATTGTAACTAGTGTTTGCGCCTTTCTTTTCATTGTTACATGACTGTACAAAGTCACAGCAAGTAGATCAAAACACAGACGCTGCCCAGCAGATAAATGAAAAGCCAACAGGCGACGTGACAACACGTTTATTATGTCTGAGATAAATCTCCCAGAGAGAGACGCGTTAGTTGATAGTTATTCTTTCACAGCCACCTCTGCTTCGTTTTATAACTTAACCAAATCATGTGAGATAAAACTGTGGCTCTGTTTTAATCAACAATAAGAAAAAAGACAAAAGACAGCGACAGCAAACAACAACATGTTATAAGGACCTCGGTTTCTGCATGTACCATTTGACATGTAGGCATGAAATAAGTGTTGTAACTAAATCAAATATCAGGCACATGGAGTCACAGAGGAGACGGTGTGCTAATAGAAAACAGTGGAGTGTGCTCTTCAAGTGAAGGAGGGCAAGTATCTGAGGAGCTTGTTCATAAGTGAGGCAACTGCTCCAGACGGTGTAGAGAAAGCTGAGGGAGAAGTGTCACCGCCTCCACTTCAAAACTCTCTTTAGGTCACAAGGTCTTTGGTAGTGAACTGAAGAGAGCGATAGCTAATACGAGCAGTTTATTAGGCTGGGTGTATTATTCTTTTGAGCTTGTTAAATGCTGTTAACAGGGAAGAGCCTGGTTTTTAAACCTCCAGTTAATGCAAGTTTGAAAGACAAATAACACAAAATCATGATATTCTCAGAAAAAATTTACCTGGAATTTAATAAATTTAATAGCAACTTTGTGAAGAGATCTAAAAGGCATGAACACACACACACACACACACACACCTCCTTGCTGTCTCTTCCATCAGTGGGTGTCCAGGTGAGTCGGTACAGCACCACGTCGGAGGCTGGGTGCTTCCATGACACCCTGAATCTGTCTGTGGAGATGTCACTGCTCCTCAGATCCAGCGGCTCTGGGACGGTCTCTACACACAAATACACATGGTAACAGAAATGAATGTTGCTTAATCCACCACAACGACCTACTGCCTGAATACTAGCAATGCTGCTATCACTTCCTACTTGTGGTGAAGGTGTCAGTCAAGGCCTCAGCTTGTCCCTCGTCATAGACAGCAACCACACCGACTGTGTACTCGGTCAGCGAGGTCAGGTTCCTCAGCAGCCAGGTAGTCACATGGCCAGCATCCACCTGAAGACACAGCGACAACCAACCGTGACATAGGTGAGTGAGCTTTTTAACTTTTCTCTTAGTAACTTCTTCTGTTCTTTATGCCACAGTTAGCAGCCTAGACTCTGTTCAGGCTGTGAGGTCGTTCGAAGTGCACAAAAACCCCGCCCTCATGCACCAGCTGAGCAACATGGCAATAAAGAGGTGGCTACGTGTTTTGGTACCAAGTGTAAGCATGTAAATCACTGAGTTTAACAATAAAGTTAGCTAGCTCTGTGTTTTCAGCAGCTCAGTGTGTGACTCTCATTGTGCAGGTACCGTCGGATCACATTGGCCGTGAACCGTGGCAGACCTGCCTACACCACAGCTTCACTACAGCAGGTCACACCTTGAGAATGTCGAACTATCTCGCAAATTGTGACACTAATTGTGTTAAATAACTGCTGCCCAGGTGTTGTTGTCAGCCTCAGCGAGCCAGGTGCCAGTTTAAACACTGACACTGAAAAGCTGGACCAAGATTTGTTTCTGGCCACTGATGAGAGCACTGAGGGTATATACTAGACTACACCCTGTCCTCAATCAGCCAATGTGCGTTATGTCCACTGAGTTGTGTAACCAGTGCTCCCAGTGGCTGAGGCCAGCAGGACGCCCTCACCTCATTGGTCTGGACTCCGTTGGTCTTGACGTACATGACGCGGTAGCCTTTGACCATCCTGGAGCCAGAGTCCCATGTGAGCCTGGCGGAGCTGTGGTCCACGTCTGAGAAGCGCAGGTTCCGTGCAGGGGTCAATAGTACTGAGGCAGAAAAGCAAACGTTACACACATGGCACATGTGTGTGACCCACAGATCCTGGAAGGTGACAATATAAACTGGCCAGAGGAGGCATATTTAGCTGCCGTTCGGTTTGTAATCAGGAATCACACTGCACAAGGCATGTGCAGGGATGTGGTGCACCCTGGGCCGTGCGTTCAGCGGGCAGGGACACTACTCCCGGACCAGCAATGCACCACGCTGGACACCTCACAATTCCATAGAAAGTCTGCTGTCATTCATCTGATGATTAGCAGTAGAAACACAACAACAAGCTGCGACTGAGCTGCTGCCATCGGGGGTCAGAGGTGAGTGATTCTGGAAGAGCAAAACTTTTTTACAGCCACACACTCCCGGGCTTTTGAGCCGAGGTTATTGGACTCCGCTATTTTAATTATAAAGCACATCAGCAGCACATCACATCACTCACCCACCCCGAGGTTCTGCCTCAGTTCCCTCTCTCTTTTTCATTTTCTCTCAGCCCTGCTCCCCCAGAGGTAGTACAAAAAAAACCTCTTACCCTCAAGTTTTTTTTTTATCCAGGGAATCTGATTTACTCTCAGAGGCCCAGAAACTTTTCTGCTTAGAATTACTGATCTGTTTTCTTTTTCCAAAAAAAAACAACTCCTGATTGTACCCTCCATTGCTTCACCTCAATTATACTGGGGGTCAGAGTAAAGACAAAGCAGCGGGGAGAGAGGGAGAGGAAGGGAAGGAGAGAGCGCTTCTGTTTTTACTGCTGGCCGTGCCAGAGTCAGCATAGGAATGAGGAGGCTGGGAAATTAAAAAGTTTAGAGATAGGTAAGTCTGCAAAGTTTCCAAATTTAAGAGTTCATATAAAAATATCCACTACAATAAACGACCCCTCATACAGATGTCAGAGGACACTGCAGATCAGCACAAGCAGCTTCGCCCAGGAGATTTAAAAACTAAATATAAGATTCTGTCTCTTTACGAACTAATTTTTAAACTCTCCCACAGGTTCGACGCTGTCTTCACTCCTGGCTGTTTCTTCAGGTAGGAAACATACCAAGCCAGACAGACCTGCGTGTCTGCGTGGGCATCGCCTTCTTGTGCCAGAAAAATTCTTCTGCTCCCAGCTACAGAAAATCAACTTCCAAAAACCACCTAATATGAATATGAACATCCAACTAACTGATGATGAAGTGTAAAGAATTTGGTTAGAATAGTTAAAAAACAAACTATATCTCTAACTATAGCTGCGTTTTGCTGCTTCTGATCTGCTTTTAACTTAACTAGTGCAAAACCCAGCGCTTGCTTGCAGACATCAGAGCTAATAAGATGTTTGATTTTGCAAAAGCAGCCTTTATCTTGTTGCTGTGTTTTTTTCCCAAGCTGCTTCAATTTGCAGCTGCGATGGCCTCATTTCACTGCACTGCATTAAAGCTCATTGTGTCCTAACGGTAAAGAAAACAACAATAGAATAATTGGGTGAAATGAGAAATAAGGAGCTTCTGAAGACAGAGATGATTTAAATGACCCAAAAGCACATTAAATACATTTCCCCAAGTCCAGATGCATAATGTGCTGCTGCAGCAAAACAAGAAACAGGGCAAACCTGATGATTAGTGCAGGACAGAATGCCACAAATATGAACTCTAATTAATTACATGTTTAATAAATACAAATGAAAAGAAGAAAAACATGAATCACCCCATATTTTCTCCAGGCACAATCACTGCATGACAGAGACTAACCACCAGAAACAAAAACAGATCTGACAGTCAGATGCTTTTTTTTTGAATGAATGAATGAAAGAGCGAATGAGAAACGAACATGACGACTGACTGAATGTGTGCACAGATATGGGGGCCTGAAGCTCCGTCTGCATGGATGAGCAAACAGTATTGTAACAGAAAAAATAAACTAGACGAGATCTCAGTCCCTGCCAAAAAAACAACCACCGCCTCCTTCCAACAGCTGCCAGCGCCTTTAGCTGGCCTGCATTTAGTCTCACACACCATAAAGACATGAACATGTCCTGACTAAAAGCCGCAGGCCACAAACCATAAAGGAGACCTCATAAACCATTAATTAGTGAGTGTGGTGGGGGATTGGGGAAGGTGCAGGGGCCAGGTCCTCTTGTCAAGGCTTCTAAACTCTTTAAGAATGAAAGAGAGGTGCAAAGAGTAGCTGTATGAGCGGAGGCTGGAGCAGGCGCCACACAGCGACTTGCCACTGCTGGTTGCCAGAAAACATGCCAGGACGTGACCTGAACATGCTACAGCTGTCCTGAAGAAACTGCACCACTATAACAAAACACTCTGCAAATAATAGGTCACTGAAACTGAGATCAACTTGAAGCTTGAAGAGGGTTAATCAGAGTAATCAGCTGCTGCAGCGTTTGGAGTGATCCCTCCTCGCTGCTCCTTCACTCATCCCCACGACACCACACAGCTTTAGAAACTTCACCGTACAACTTCTAAAAACAAGTGCTCATCATACATAAATATCCACATCTTTTGGAAGGTGCATGTGGCGCTCCTGTACCACAAAGCTAGGTTTCCATAGCCTGGACAATGTCCATGTTGTCAGCACACTGTTATCTGACATGATCTGTCATCTTCTACAGCAGATTTAAGGGATGTGGAGATTGTGGTTAACGATCAAAATCTGAAGTCTATCCACATATCTCAGAGCCCCAAAATCTGGATTAGATTCAAGACTGGTGCCAACAGAGCTCTCCTAGGAGCTGCTCACCACTGTGGTTCACACTGCGACACAGTTGCTTCACTTCCTGCTGCCACACCAATAAACAGAGGGAGTGATTAGAGGGCAGATCTGAGGGCGGAATTTTGAGTTTTAGAGAATGAGCAAATGATTTTCTGCAGATGGATGAAGCAGTTAATTGACTGATGATTTCAGTGCCATGTGCGAGGGACTCACATGTGGTCTGCTGGCTGGTCATGGGGTCACTGGCCTCCTCTCCGTACATGGCGTAAACTGTCACTGTGTACTCAGTGGCCGGAGTCAGTCCCTCTAGCTCCACCTCGTTCACTGAGTCTGACACCTTCACCTGCACGCACACACACACACACACACACACAAGCACAGAGCATGAAGGTATGCGCCTTCAGCTGAAAGAGGATGCCGACCTCCTTATTTTTCTCACCACCTTCTTATCTAGTCCATTTCTCTCATTCATCTGTCCGTTTATCTGTCGTATCATCTGCCTCTCTGCATATCTACTCTTCTGTCATCCCTCCATAAGCCCACGGTCCTGTCCAGACAAGCAGAGGATCAAGGTGTGATTACCTGAGAACATGTTTGAATACAGCTGTGCCTTTTTTCTCCTGCTCTCAGCAGGTGGGACTTAGCAGGCTCCTCCAAACTATGTGCCTCATGTCGTGAACTGCTACATGCAGCATCACAGTCTGATCCCAGAGCAGCAGTTTGTTCCTCAGGATGACTACAGCTGCTCACACCCAGCAGCCACAAACTTCACCCGCTTTCAAATTCTGCAATTTAAAAAAAAGGCGCTCACAAATGTTTGTCCACCAGCTGTTCTTGTTTGATGTTCTACCAGAATAGGAACCAGACTTCATAGCTGATGCAAAATGTTAGACTTGGCTCCAGGCGCTGACTCAAAGTAAACTGCTAACATAAAGCCAGTCATGTCCTGCCGTTCCTCTGTCTCTGACTGAGCCAAAACTGAATTTTTGCTAAGGTCATCAGCGGGTTCCTTTTCATTTGAATATATTTAGACCTATTTTATCCCCCAGTGTCACTTTCCTGTACCATACCCTGGATGTTTCCACAGCAAATGTACATTGATGTTTTAGGTTTCCCATCAGTAAAGCAGCCTGATGCAGAGTTAGGATGCATGTTGGTTTGTCGCATACTGACATGTAGAAACAGAAACACAGTGAAAGTTGGGCTGCTGAACTGAGCTGATCCTGGCTTCCCTGTAAAACCTGAACCCTCATCACTTTTGAGTTTTTGTTGGCAGGGCAACAGTCAGTTTTGGGGACACGGTCTTCAAAGCCATTTCAGATGTAAACTCTTCCTCTTGCTGTTCTGTGAGTTTTGCTCTCAGCCCATGTGGATGAAAGCAGTTTACCATGTCAAACTGGTCTGGGTTGGATTCTTGCTTTGGCCCAAACAAGCTCCCCACATGGTCTGTATGAGCCAGCCAAGCTGGGGCTCGGACAGCGGCGCCTCAGAGCCAGCCTCATGCTCGCCGCAGGAAAGCATCCACCTCAATCCAGAAATGGTTTATATGGCTTTCTGCCTGGAGGGAAACATGGCGGCTGGCATAATGAGGTCTAATGGGAAAGCGAGGGATCCAGACGGCTGGCTGTAGCCTTCATACCTCTCCCCCTCCTCCTCCCTAACTGTCAAAAATCTTGGTTTAGCAGTTGGTTTTGATGTTTTCTTATCTGTCTCAGTGTTTGGTTTTCAGTAAGGATATGTCTAATATTCAGTTTTTCTTCTCTAGCTGAGGACAAATCTCTATGTTCTGCCCTCTGGTTCATCATCTATCGATTTTTTCAATCTATAGAACTCTGAATGTGGCGGACTTGTTTCTCCCTGATTGCTGGAGCACCACAGTGAACGAGGCAGCTCAGGGTTCATCGTGTTGTTTACTGTGCTGTGTTGAGAAGCTGCAGCTGTGACTAAACTGTTTTCTGCTGCTGATTTAAAATTTGGTCATGAACACCAGAAGAAAATGTGTCATTTCACCGTGTGTCTTCTCCTCTGTCCTCTGTCTCTGCCATACCGAGCATTATAGAGAGCATAGAGGATGTTCTCCACAAGCAGAATGGAGGGAAAACAGAAGGAACACCAATAAGAAGCACACAGTAAAAGCCCATTTTTACTTTAAAGCAACTCAGTTACAGATACAAAGGCATCAGGTCAGTGTTAATAAGCTGAATTAGCCGTCTGTGTCACATAGTTGCCATCTGTAAACAGACCATTTCAAAACAACTCCAGGTGTCGCTCCTCTGACGTTCAAAGACAAAACTCCAAAAAAAGTCAAAGGTGTTTGCAAGGTCAAGCTCTGCAATTAAGAAAACAGACTCAGACTAGTTACTGCCTCAAAACTGAGAAAACGTGTGAGATTTGCAACATGCAAACCAACTCTGTTCTGTGTGAGTTTCATCAGCTCAAACACTCCTTTACCCAAAACCCCAGCACTGTTGGAGGGGCTTGTTAAGGATCTCTTTATTGAACAGGTCAGCTGGAAGCACACTAATGGTGCTTTAACGTTGCCACTTGCCTGCAGATATCTGTTAAACGATAAATATCACCACTCTTCTTCCTTGACTTCGGTTGTTTTTGAACCCAGCGTTGCAGACTGTCTTTTTTAAAGCAGGATTAAATCAAATGCTGTGGACATACGACCGAGTCTGGAGCTGGAGCATATTGATATGGACACATTCAGGAAATACCACCTGAAATCTTGTAGCTCTGCCTCTCTGACACACACACACACACACACACACTCCTCACCTCCTTCTCGTCTGCAGGATCACCCTCGGTCAGCGGGGCGTAGAGGATCATGTACCCAGAAGCCCCAGCGGCGGTCTCCCATCGCACCCTCATGGTGCTGTGAGTGATATCAAACAGCTCCAGGTCGTGGACGGTGGGCAGGGCCACTGTAGGACATAAACACAGGACGGGGTTGAGGAGCTCATGCACAAAAAGACCAGATGCACGACTTCTCTCAAGCAAACGCTGATATGAAAAGACGACCCATTCATTAACTGACTAGTCATTAACTGTACAATTCATCAATTTCATGTTTATCACTTTTATTTTTACGGTAACGTCGACTTTCCAAGTTTGAATTTGAACACAAAGCTGACAACCTGCTTTAGAATTTGAGACTTTCAGCTTAAATAGGTTCAAATAATTTCTAAATGTCAGGGAAAGGTCTGGCTAGTATTTGGGATTTATTAAACCCCGTGCCTTTCAGTCACTCAGTTCTGTCTCTGATCTCACAGCAGAAGAAAGACGTGCAATTACATGTTAGTCCTGTACCTTTGGTCTTAATCAAGCTGTAACCCTCTGTGGGCTCTTAATCTTGTCATAATTTAAAATATTAAATACTGGTCCAAGACATCTTCAAAAACCAGTATCAGTCAGCTCCGTTCCCTGCGGTCATATATTTTCTCCCAGACAGTCCAGTGTAACCAGCACTGGCAGATTAGTCACAGCCAAACCCCATTAACATTGGCACAAGGTCAACTTGCAACTTAGCATTCAACCTCTACAGAGGGGGAGGCATTCCCCGTCATTAATCAGCTTGCGTCAGGCACCACGAGGCCAGAGAATCCTGCCAGGCTCTGGTTCAGTGTTTCAGACGTCAGGCAGCGCAGCTGGAATTAGAGCTCGCTGCAGGGGACCTGTCAGAGGTGGAGGACCAGGGCTCAGCGATCCTATTGCTCAAATTCATAGAGTCTTCTGCTGTAGATGTAATAAACCAGGCACGCATGTCTACAGACATGAAGCTTTTCCTTTCAACCCTTTCACTTCTTTATTACCTAAAGAAATGAGTGAATAAAGAATCTGCATTTTCACTTCAGTTTGTGTCATCGGTTATTCCACTGTACAAATCTGGTGATAAGCACAACTTCACAAATTATAGACCGGTTTCTCTGTTGTCACAATTTTCAAAAATCCCGGAAAAACTCTTTAATAACAGATTAGATACATTTATTGATAAACATAAAATCCTCTCTGATTGTCAGTATGGTTTTAGGTCGAACCAGTCGACATCTTTGGCCATTACCGACCTGATGGAGGACATTACAAGTGCTATGGATGAGAAGAAATACACGATAGGAATATTTATTGACCTAAAAAAGGCATTTGACACAATCAATCATGAATTATTAATG